AAACCGCTATTTCGCACTGTATCTAGATTACTCATTCCCCTCCGAAATTTTGGTGTGTACTGCGCTAAAAGCCAATATAAACAATGTTATTATATTTGACGATACTTGAGTCGATGTAAATGACGATGTGGCAGCGCCCCCTACATAGATTCCTTATTAAAATAGGTGGAACTATTGAGTGCGTGCACCATATCGCATGTAAATTTTCAATATGGCAGCGTCCATAGGATTGGAACGATAACCAATTTCGTAGTCATGAAATATCACCGTACGTTTTGGTGTGTACGTTTGAACTTTAGCTACTTATTTTCCATATATCTATTCGCTTGTTGTTTTATTCGATTTTGAGAGAAGCGCAGAAATGAGTTACAAATATCTAGGGGAAAAGCACAAAAGAAAAATGTAACGATAACATACTGAAAGCAATGAAGAATAACGAAAATGTACAATGTTCGAAATAATCGTGAAGTTGTCCCGCAAAATGAAGAAGTGTATGTCCTCTGTATGCATACGCAAGGCAGAGGTGACTTAAAATAGTTGTACTCTCAAAGGTGGCTGGAACCCCTTGATTTTAAAATTATACGAATTCGTCAAAAAAAAAACTTGTTGGGCTCTTGGAACAAATTTATGCCCTAATTGTCAAATCAGTAGAATTAATTAATCAGATTAATGCACCCCCATAAAACCATAAACCATTGAAGAAGTCTGAAACGCATTCTTAGAGCAAAATTGCAAACAAGTTTTTTCTGAATTTAATAAAAATAAGAACTGATTGTCCAATAATTGAATGAATTATTTATGTTGAAGAATGAAGCAGTTGCCAGGAACAACTTTGGTAATTGTTTTTAGACGCGTTGTATCTAGACAGTTGTATATAGATGGACATTTGAATGGTTTGGAGCGAAAATGTAATACAGAAAAGTTGAGCGGAAAAATGTCGATGATGAATGAGCGGAAAAGGGATAGCTATATAGTAAACTGTATAGTAAACTATAGTGAACTATATAGCTATCCCTTTTCATTTGACATTTTTCCGCTCAACTTTCCTGTATTACATTTTCGCTCCAAACCATTCATTTATACCGTTCCATGTGACACAACCATTACTATTAAATATATTCCAATGTGCAATTCGCAGTCGTATATTTTACAGCCAATTATTATTCCTTGATCGAGTGTTCAAAGTTTTGCCAAATATCGATGAAAAACCAATGCCTGAAGCACTGCAACGGGTTGCCAAAGAAATTATATTCTTTCTGGAAACGCAATATGAACAGCATGCATTTTTAATGCTGTTTTTCATATTTGGCGCTCAATTTGAAAGAGATGAAAAGTAGCTGTCTCCAGTTATAGCGGATTGAGTACTACAGTTTTGCTGAATACATCATTCTGTTATCTTTTGTAAATTGCTGAAAAAAGCGAAAAACTAAATTTAAAATCCGAGTTCAAATATTTTAATCCCACCTTTATTATTCTCATCGACACAAATTTATACAAATGTTGATTAAATTACCCTCTCCATGACTAAATTTATAAATACACCGATTTTTATGAAAAAAAACTTGCCCGAACATTTTTAGATCGTATCATACTAAGAGTGATCAACGAGCGCTCGTTCGTTTGTTCCTTCGTATGCGAAAATGTTGTTTGTTCGTTCTTATGCGAAAATGTTCGTTTGTTTGTAGGTGGTATTTTAAAAAATGCATGACAACTCATTTTTTCCATGTTTACAGCAAAAATGTTTGAGAAATGTCTCTATTTATTAACTGTCTCAGAATAAAAACAGCAAAAATGTTGCTGTAAATATAGAAAAAATGAATTGTCAAACATTTTTCAAAATACCACATATGAACAAACAAACGGAGGGACATTTTAGCCTACAAACGAACTAACGAGCGCTCGTTGACAACTCTAATCATACTTTTTGAATCGAAAAAAAAAGTTTTATTATGTGCACGTTTATTTCAGTTTATTTGATATTCTATGTCATTGTGCAATAAAATACCGCACCGAATAATTTTTTTCTTCAAAATCACAAAACGAATTTATTTTGTTCGCAGTAAAATGTCATTATTTGGTACTATACGTCATCGGTTCCAATAAATAGTTCTTCGAAATTTCACATCTAAATTTGAAATAAAAAGTTCTATAGCTATTTCTATAGACACTTGTTCCTCTTCGAAGAAACATGTTGAAAATTATTAGTCTTAAATCCAAATGATGATAAAATAAAATTGAACGCAAAAGCATTCAAATCGGTTTACGAGTTTGTAATCACTAAAAACAGAACCTATGTGTTGATATGTAAAATTGAATTATAATACAGTGGAACTTGGATTATCCGTCACCTTGCCGAAGTGGATTTTTTTCAGTTCTTTTTTCAGTTCATTTCACTTGAACATACGAATAATGTCGCCGAATGACATTCATAATCAGAATCAATTGTGTTTCGCTTGTACATTTGAAATCAAAGGCGATACTACCGAAAACATTTTGCGTATTGGACAATGCAGCAAATCTATTTTCGTATCGAACATATGACATCCATAGAACAAAAGAACAACTTATGAGTTCTTGTTCTATAACTGAGACGGAAAAAAATAGAGCAAAAAAGAGACAAATAAAGTGGCGAGCAAAGGTGACACAACTCAGCATTGAGTGGGAGACCTAGTCGCTATCTTTTTCCAGTGGCAAGAAAAATGCAAAAAAACATCTTTTCCGCTCAATGCTGAGTTGTGTCACTTTTGCTCGCTACTTTATTCGTCTATTTTTTACTCTAACTATTCTCTTCTCAGTTATAGAAAGAGAACCCATAAATTGTTCTCTTGTTCTATGGGTGTCACATATTTTCTACATCACTCTATTTTTCATCATGAACTAATAATTATATGGAAATTTTGATTGGTTTGGCTTATTTTATGAAAACCTCGATTATCCGTCTCTTTTGATTATCCGTCAAGGTGCTGGTCCAGTGCCTGACGGATAATCGAGGTTCCACTGTAATTGAAATGGTTCATTTTACAAGTAACATCTGCAGTATACTGTTAGCACAATACAATTGTCTGTACATATTTGAAAATGTTCAGTGCGAATGCCGTTCAAACCAATGATTACTGCTTGATAGCATACATTTTTTGCAAAAAATAGACTAGTTGAAGTATAAACTCAATTTGTAGTTTTATATCGCGTTCAGAAAAAACAACGCTTGGAAAACATTGGGTATTTTTATGCATTAAGCAGTAATCGCTGGCTATTCCAGACAATATTTGATCAATAGTTTATTTCTAACGAATGCGTTTGATGTATAGTAGCAAATTTTATTTTGGCTGTTTATGTAAAACAAATTGGAAATTGCCTAGTTTTCTTCATTTTGGTTTTGATGTGGCATTTTGTAGGTTTGAAATCGTTTGATCATTTGTGTCACTAGAAATTCACCACTTTTCGTTGCTAAATTGCTATATGAATAAACATGTTTTGATTTACTTTTTTCTCTTAATTCATGTTGTGTTGGTTTTGACAACGACGTAACTGCGAAACAAAAAAAAAACAAATAATCGAAACCTTAATAAAACTTATCTGCCTGAAATGATATTGGGTCCATTTGTCTTCTTCATTGGCATGCATTCTACTTTATGTGCACGTTGTCGGTCTAATCGAATTCTGTTGCTGAAACTTCAAAATTATGCCGTTGTCCACATCGCGCAATCTTGCTGATGCTTGTTGTAACAAAATAATGTGCAAATTAAGATGCCCCAATTTGAGGGCGGCTATGTGTCCTTGAATAATGGACAAAATTCCGTTTACAATTCGACAACTGAACCAACTGGGCCAGCGACTGTGCTCGAAACGGTTAAGCGTGTCATTGGCAGTGCTATTGGAAATAGCAATCCACAAGATGCGGTACTAGTTCCGCCACGTGGTGGACGACCCATTATCACAAACGCAAGGTAAGTAAAACTCTTGTCGACCACCCTGAAAACTGACATCCAGCAACAGCAAAAAGAGAGACGCAAGCCTTGCTACTCTACTAGTACGGATCAAAATAATTTTATGCCTGAAAGTTGTCGATTTCTGGGATCTAAAAAATTTGCCCGCCCCACGGATCATGTCCGTTGCCATCTTTATGTCAAAACAAATAAAATTTTAATCCAATGAATACAATAAAGTTGAGGAAAACCATCGGCACGGCACGATAGAAACCATACAACTACATAAAATCTTGACTACCATCTGAATGCACTTTTATTGCGATCCAAGTATGTAAAAAAGTCTGAAAAATGACCAGAATCTTTTCATCTTGATGTCATGATGAAAAATTGTTGATTTCAATGCCGAAAAACACAACCCAATCAGCAGAATTGTGGAAAAACTTAGTTGGGATAAGGAATTTTCTTATCAAGCTCAGAAATCGACCAAACTTAGGCATAAAAATATTTTGCACCACTTTACACTCCATTATCATTGGAGATTGATAATCGATTCTCTATTTTACTTATTCATTGTAAAACTATTGTTCATTTTTTCGGTGACAAATCATTGTTTGGATACGATCGCTTAGTGGAATCGTAACAAATAACGTAAAACTATCATATATTATTCGTTGACATTTTGTTGAAGTGTAAGAATGAACGTATGCCATTCTAGATAAATTATTGTGGTAAAATCTGGTGACTCCTTGTTCTATTAAGAATGAAATAGTTACTAAAAATTATTGCGTAAAAATGGATGCTGGATAGCCTTGAATTTGGAAAAGACACTTTGAATTTGGGTCGTATACGCTATGTACGAAAATATGGGACTTTACTAGTAGACAGAAGGTGGAAAAATGTGTCTTCAGAGAGAAGAGAGTCCTTAGTTCATGATTTTCGGTTTGATCTTGAGACCTAAAAACGGTATATGAAATGCGTTCGGCCATGTGGTATATTGATTGAAAGGAATGAGCATCAGCTATCAAATGCAGGTTAGTATAAGCGAATATGACCTAGAAATGGGATTCGACTTAGGGTGTGGTTACCGAAACGTCAGAATGGCCAAAAAATAAAACTTAGAATCCAATTTCCGACACAGACATTTCATATAACGTTTTGAAATCTAGAGACCAAACCAAAAATCAAGGACTGGGCGTTTGGAATGGGCGTTTCGAAAAAAATTGTATTGACTAGTGTTTTTGGATTGAACCCAGATGGAACTCGTAAAAATTCCTAAATTATAGTAGAGGATTTATCTAAATCCTGGCATGATTATCGATATGACCCCACATTTGCATGACAGAAACGAAACACTCTTTAATTGTAATTGTGCATGTTAAATGACAACATAGGTGCTATAAAAATGGCAAATATGATTGATACCGATTTCGAGGTCAAAGATTATCATATCCGGGGAAATGCCATCAGCCCTACTATTCTTCTAATCGAATAAAAAAGCTTAAAAACATGAAATTTTTCACCACCTTTATAAATTTTAATAGATAATAGAACCAAATGAAGCCAATTATTTATAGAATAAAATACCTATTCTACAAGTTTTTCTATGGTTATTTTTGTTTAAATTGCAAACGTATAACGAACATGCGTATCTGCAAAGCTACAACTACACTTCAAACTCATTTGCTAAATAAGAGAGATTTTGTGGTAAGTATTTTGGAACCACAACATCTCTGTTTGTGTCGAAAAATAGAGACAAGATCACGATTTAAAAATCACCACACAATGCAATATCCTGTGTTTATTTCACTTTTTAACAAATAGCCATTTTTGCCTAAATTTAATTCCACAATGAATGAACTCTAACATACAATTATTTCATTTAACCCATTGACGACCGGTATAGATTTTATACTTTTCCTCCAATTAAAGTACAATTCAATTCCGGAAATTTCTCACTACCTGCTTTGGTAGTTCGCCTCCAAAGTCGAAAATTCTTAGCCTTTTTCTCGTTCTTCAAACCCAATATTTCTCTTATGATCAATGTTGAAATTTGATAAAAAGATGCGGGCATTCTTCATCTTCCCAAAAATACTATATTTATGCTCAGGTGACATTTATGCATCCTATCTTCAGGCTGTTAAGCTAGTGTTGTAGCTGGAATAAAAAAATGAAAGTCAACCAATTTCAACTTGATTTTTCTAGAAACGAGCATGAATTTGCTATTTAAAATGTCCAGTCATTCTGATTCGGTTGTCAAAGAGTTATTTACGTTTGATACATATCATGTAAGCTAACTAATGTGAAACGTAAAATGCTGTTTGAAGTCATATCATTGATAAAAAAAATCATTTCATTAAAGACTTAATTATTATTTTTATTATTTTATCTATTTAGACTAATTTTTCTTCTAAACTAACAATACATATTCCTAATATTTACTAAAATGTGTACTTGTTGAAACAGATCAGAATCAATTGCTGTCGTGGTGCCAATTATTTATTATTATTTTAAAGTGTTAATCGTCAATTGGCACATTTCTAGGGAACGGATAAATCCTATCTTTGTATCGTAGTGAGAATTTCTTGAAGAAATTTAGATTCAATTCAATTTAGTCCTGTGTGATTGATTATTTGATCTGTTTTAATATGTATTTACAATGCATGCAGTTTAGCGTTTGTTATGAAATTTAAAACATTTTTGCAGAGATCGTGAGCGTATAACAGGAAAAACACAAAATATAAGGATGCCATCTGCACCAACGCATACTGCCGAAGAGGCACGACTTCTTGGGTAAGTCTGTATTCGTCGCTCTCATAGCATATCCATCAATTCCAGTTAAATCAATTACTCTTGTCGTCTTTTCTCTCATTGATGATGCAATTAAATTATTATAGCTCGAAGAACTTTTAAGCAACATTTTCAGAAGACCCTACATGAGTCAAACCAATCAAAGAACAAAAAAACTCGAAACTCATGTACATAGTCTTTTTATACCTTATGATTTCCACTGAACAAATGTCTAGAAGATTTTGACGATTCATTACGGAAATGGAGTGTAGAGTAACAAATACTTTCGAAATATATTGTAGAATGGTTGAAGTAGGAGAGATTTATTTCTAAATCCCTTTAAATTTCCTTGAAATTTGTTTGAAATCTTTAGAATAATAGAGCATGCCTGCCTATTTAGATAATATTTGAAAGTGATAAATGAACTTTATTTTGCATTTGAATTTCAAGTATCATGTATTTGTGCATGTCTGAAATGAATAAAACTCCAATAATAATTGAAAAATGTCGTAAATAATATGGTGAAACCGAACATTTTCGTAATGAGCTGTCACCAGAATGTTTTGTACTGTTGTTTTTCATTCATATCATCTTCTAATCGACTGGAATTAATTGATTGTTTTCAAATCTCAATCGAATACCAAATACTGTAGTGTCGAAACCAGAAAATCAACGTGAATGAGTTGAACGTTTAACATGCACGTCATAAGCATGCAATCTGTTGATTATCATCACAATGAATTTGTCGATGTTTTTCTCCGAGGCGACCAAAGTATTACAATGATGTTTATAAACCGCACTCAAAGTATTAGCACTTATGTGAAACGTATAATCCACACGTTTTGAACACCGCACTTCACTTTATAGGCCCTACAGCGAAGAAATAATGATGAATATTATTCTGAATTGAAGCATCGACTCAGGTGATGTTGGTTAAGTGACGTGAAATGTTCGGAATATTGGTGTATAAATGTATGATTGATTCTTAATAAATATATACCACTCATTGAAAATACGAAAATTTGGTAAATTCAAACCAAGTCTTATCGATAAATGACAAATGAAATGAAGCGGAAAGCAATAGACGTCATTTCTAAATGAAATATCAATATTTATAAATGGATTTTAAGTTAATGAAAGCAAAGCTTGATATCACAAACAAATATTTAAATGAAAATTATAATGCATGAAAAAACTGGCAAATGTTCAAACAAACAAAAAACGTTAGACTTTTATAACGCCTATTCGGAAGCATACGACCTGAGTTGTACAAATTTCTGGCGATGTGCAATGCAATGTACTTTGGTTCGATTCACGTTGATTTTTAGTCAATATATGTTTAATAGATTGTGCACTCATACTTAGGAAGGATCATAAATTGAATCAAATTTTACAATTGGGCTCCGTTTTATAACAAAGCATGTTGTGGTCAATGCAATTTTAAGGAGTTTGTCTTGCATTGCTCGGATATTTGCTTCACATGTGACTTGTACCCAATTTGTTGAATAGCTACTACTACTGTCGAGAATGCTATGAGTTATATAATCAATGCTTCAACAGAAAAAGAACGCCAATATTTCAATAGTAGTGTTGCCGTTCCAATTCATTCACACCAAAAAATTTGTACATAAAAGAGACAAAACAGCAAAGTGTGAATTACAAAGCAAAAACAAAAAAAATGTTCCAATTCACTTTGACAGGTTTATACCGCGAATGCGTTCATTTGCGAGAGCAAAGTCGTTAATTTATCATGAAATAGCATAAAACAGCGAATTGTTAAATGTTTGCGATTGAAGTTGCTACGGGTAACGCGCCATCGTGTCGTCAACGGCAAACACTCCCTGCTGTATTATTTGCAGTCGAAATGTTTGGGAACAAACCACTTTCCATGTAAATACAATGACCTCACAAGAGAAGGGAAACATTAAAATGGTTCACTATTCCTCCCCCTCACTAGACAAAGATATTTTATGTATTTCTCTCAATCATATGACAAGAGGCTGATATAAAAAAACTAAACGGGATACAAGTAGAAAATGGAGAAATGGGACATTTGCACGGGATCTGCACATGAAATACGTTGTAATCGTATTTACAATAATCAAATTACTTCTAATGTTCTTTGATAACGGACTCGTGTTTTCTTCCTTATCATGTAAAAAATGATGAATTTTACAACTATTAGAAATCATGATGGACAAATCGATAAAAGCGGATACTGTTGAAATGGAAAAAAAATTGATACGCAAAAATAATGTTAAAACCATATTCTGGAATGATATTTACAGAAAATTTAGATACGTAACGCGGTATACACACAGTAACGAAGTACATGTGTAACGATTTGCATAGTACTTAAAATGATAGAAAAAAATCAATAAAATTACCAATTTAATATCAAATCGGGGTTGTCGTATAAAAATCGTATTGTGGAATACAATAAAATATCAAGGATGGACGAACAGTAAATGGGATTTACTTGATAAATAGAAAGAAGAAAATGTTCATTGTATACGAGTCTTGAGCATTTTGTGAGATAATTTCAGGTGAAACAGCAGCTAACCGATAATAATTAACCACATTTTCCCCTAATTTGTTTGTCCTAAATAGCAATATGCCAGTTGATCCGATGGATGATATAGAGTTACGTTCGGTGCAGTTGCAATTCTCAAATGGACGTGGTTCATTGGGCGGTAATTGCGATATGCAACGTGTAATTACCGACAAAGGAGAGGTTTTGGTGGCCGTCCAAGGTGATACATCGAAACCGGCCATTTTAACCTATCATGACTTGGGATTGAATTGTATGTAAACACGGTTTGTCATTCAGTATGAACTTTACATGAAATTTCGTGTACACTTCTCAGATGCAACAAGTTTTGCTGGATTTTTCAACTACCCAACTATGCGATCATTGCTAGAGAATTTTTGCGTTTATCATGTTACTGCTCCAGGACAAGAAGAGGGTGCACCAAGTCTACCCGAAGAGTAAGTAGTCTAGTTGCTGCCATAGTATTTTATATTAGTCTCTTTGGAGGATTCATTTGGCCGCTTCATCATGTACAAATTCAAATATGCTTGCTTGGATGAGAGGTTCATTTCTATATTCTATATCTACCGTTTAGGTATGTGTATCCAACGATGGATGAATTGGCAGCCCAGCTGTTATTTGTTATGTCGCATTTTGGCCTGAAAACGATGATTGGCTTCGGTGTTGGAGCTGGTGCGAATATATTGGCACGATTTGCACTGAACCACAGTGATAAAGTTGGTGCTTTGTGCCTTATAAACTGTAGCTCAACAACATCTGGCTGGATGGAATGGGGTTATCAAAGCTTCAATGCACGGTATGAATTTCTCCATACAGTCTTGATTGGTATCATTTCAATTGATGGAATAAAAATTGAACAATTAATACATATTTTCCAGTTATTTGAGATCAAAGGGTATGACTCAAGGAGTCGTGGATTATCTGATGTGGCATCATTTTGGACGAAATCCCGAAGAGCGAAATCATGATTTGGCTCAGGTATATTTCCCTCGTTCAATCTTTTACTTTGCCGTATATGTAAATGTTTAAGGGAGATGGTCTAGTTATGAGACGGGTTTTGTTTTAGATTTTAAAAAAATTCTGTGGCTTTCAAAAATGGAAAGTTAGAGTTCTATCATGTAGCTTATGTCCAGACGCAACTTTTTTCCGATGAAAGTTTATTGATTCCAGTTACTCGAAAAAAAATTTGACCAATTTTGTGAGGACTTTTTTTTTGGCCCCAAAAAAATTTTGGTCCAGTTATGAGACACCCAGAAAAACTGAATACAAGTGGATAAATATGAAGGAAACTCA